CCAGCACGTCCAGGTAGGCTGCAGCGACGTTCGCGTTCTCGGCCTCGCCAGCTCGGGTCGCGCAGGTCCTCCAGGTGGATCTGCAGTGACATGACATCCGTCGCTTAATGAAGGACATGGTACTCATCATAAGATAAATATTTGAAATATGGAATAAGGTATACACATATACAAATATGAAATATTAGCAAGACAGTCACAACAAATTGACTGATACAATTTATAATAAAACACACATACAATTACTCACTCACACGCGCGTGCACGCATACATAAACATACATGTGTGTATGTATATATATATAAATATATATGTGTGTGTGTGTGTGTGTGTGTGTGTGTGTGTGTGTGTGTGTGTGTGTGTGTGTGTGTGTGTGTGTGATTGATCACAGCCGCAGTCAGCATTGTTCTAATCGAATCACAATCGCAGACTCAGTACAATCAGCGCCTCAGCCACAGGACCTCGGCGTAGCAGGGAACGGCAACTCCGGCGAGCGCGCACGCCTCGGGGTTCCTGACGTTGGGGGTGAAGGCAGCCAGGCTGAAGCCGCTCGCCTCCAGGCCGGCCAGCACGTCCAGGTAGGCTGCAGCGACGTCGCGCTTCTCGGCCTCGCCCAGCTCCGGGTCGCGCAGGTCCTCCAGGTGGATCTGCAGTGACATGACATCCGTCGCTTAATGAAGACATGGTCTCATCATAAGATAAATATTTGAAATATGGAATAAGGTATACACATATACAAATATGAAATATTAGCAAGACAGTCACAACAAATTGACTGATACAATTTATAATAAAACACACATACAATTACTCACTGGTGTGTGGTGTTGTTTGTGTGTGTGTGTGGTGTGTGTGGTGGTGTGGTGTGGGTGTGTGTGTGGTGTGTGTGTGTTGTGGTGTGTGTGTGTGTGTGTGTGTGTGTGTGCGCGCGCGTGCGCGCGTGCTGTGTGTGAATACATGTAGTATATATATATATATATATATATATATATATATATATATATATATATATATATATATATACATAAATCTCCCTGCGCGCCCTAAATTGACTCTGGCTGTAAATTGCAAAAGAAGCAAAGCAAACTATCCGCCAAAGGGTAGCACCATTTCACAGGCGGAAAGGACCCACACGAAGGAATACGCTCATTGAAAAGCTGAACGACCATTTTTCTGGGACGCTGCAGTCGACGTGATGGCCATTAATGGCTTAGAATAAAATGAAGTCAATTTACACTATGCAAATCCTTTAATTTGGTTTCTAATTTTATATAATTTAACATATAATATAATGAATCACAAAATATGATACATTATAATATATGATATAAAACATGTATTTGTCACTCTGGTACTACAATTTTCAAAACACTAATCATGTCATTTAAATTGTTTCCAGTTTCAATAATATTAAGAGGGAAGCGCTGGCATCGAAGTTCTCTCAAGTAGACTGGGGATCCGTTCGGATTTCTTTATGGACACCATAAGTATATATATATAATATATATATATATATATATATATATATATATATATATATATATATATATATATATATATATATATATATATATTTATTATTTATTTATATATATATATATATCTATATATATATATATATTATATATATATATATATATAATATATATATATATATATCTATATATATATATATATATATATATATATATATATATATATATATATACATAAATCTCCCTGCGCGCCCTAAATTGACTCTGGCTGTAAAATTGCAAAAGAAGCAAAGCAAACTATCCGCCAAAGGGTAGCACCATTTCACAGGCGGAAAGGACCCACACGAAGGAATACGCTCATTGAAAAGCTGAACGACCATTTTTCTGGGACGCTGCAGTCGACGTAATGGCCATTAATGGCTTAGAATAAAATGAAGTCAATTTACACTATGCAAATCCTTTAATTTGGTTTCTAATTTTATATAATTTAACATATAATATAATGAATCACAAAATATGATACATTATAATATATGATATAAAACATGTATTTGTCACTCTGGTACTACAATTTTCAAAACACTAATCATGTCATTTAAATTGTTTCCAGTTTCAATAATATTAAGAGGGAAGCGCTGGCATCGAAGTTCTCTCAAGTAGACTGGGGATCCGTTCGGATTTCTTTATGGACACCATAAGTATATATATATATATCTATATATATATATATCTATATATATATATATCTATATATATATATATCTATATATATATATATAGATATATATATATATACATAAATCTCCCTGCGCGCCCTAAATTGACTCTGGCTGTAAAATTGCAAAAGAAGCAAAGCAAACTATCCGCCAAAGGGTAGCACCATTTCACAGGCGGAAAGGACCCACACGAAGGAATACGCTCATTGAAAAGCTGAACGACCATTTTTCTGGGACGCTGCAGTCGACGTAATGGCCATTAATGGCTTAGAATAAAATGAAGTCAATTTACACTATGCAAATCCTTT